CAAGCAATTAACAAAAATAATGAAGAGTACATGCTCGTGGGAGATTTTGTACATTACAATTGGGATGAGGACACCAACTCGTAGGAGATGATCCTCCCTATTAAATGAGAAGGTACTTGCAAAGTATTTTTAAAAACTTGTGAAATTGGATGAAAGTGGTATGCTTATGGGAGATTACATGTACTAGGAAGGACATCAACAATGGGGGTACAATCCACTTGAATGAGTCAACGAGACCAACTTCCCATTCTCCGTGGATCTAGGTTGTGGACCGATTATTCAACTCGAGAATATATCAACTATGGAAGAAGGGATTAAATAGAATTACGAATTGATCACAATGGAATCAAATGAAGATGTGGCAATCAATGAGGATGAAATCAACTTACATTTTTCGACTTTTTTGATTGTCCAAAATTAATTTTGTGATTAAGCTCGATAAAGGGGTGGAAGTTTACATAGTTGAAATTAAATCGAATGAAGTAGAAAAGTCTATTACATCGAAAAGGGCAGGATAGAGGTTTGGAGACTAAATAAAGAGTGGATCAAAGTCAAACGAGGAAAAATGGGCGAGGCATCCAAAGCCTTCTTTAGGTGTCTGTGATTTATTCCTCAAAATCGAGCTAAAGATTATAAAAAAGCACTTGTTGGGAGGCAACCCAATTTTTAAAATTTTAATCTTTTTATTTACTTTTATGCATTTTCCTTTTTATTATTTAATTACGTATTATTGTTTTTGTAAGTAATTTTTGAAGTCCCATTTCTCCATAGTTCCAAGCCAAATTTGGGGGTAAATTGGTGTACAAGAAGGTCACTTGCCGAAGCTCATCAAAAGCATCAGAAGTCCAATTCAAACATTGGTACCTCTTCACAAATATCCAACCAGGGAAGTTTCATTATCCTATGTTCTCTTTCATCCTGTTCTTTTCACATTGAGGACAATATGTGATTTAAGTTTGGGGATGATTGTACTTAAATTGTTGTGATTTATGCTGACACGTTAGATAGCATTGCCAGCAAATAATTGTTTGATGTTTAAAATTGTTGTTGATTCATGAGTTATGACCAAAGAAATGAGTGAACTAAAAGCAACCTTTAGATTTACACTTGGGGTAAGAAAATTAATATTTATTTAAGGAGTGTAAATCTCACATGTGGGAAATGAAATATTTGACCAAAAAGGGTCATGTTGGACTCAATTTGAAATTTTTTTCCATCTTGACAATTTTTTCCTAATTTAAATGATGATTGAAAGTGACTATTCACTCACACACACTAATCGAATATTGGATAAGTTTAAATTATTTTTGCTAGCATTATTTGGAACATATTTGTGATTTGATTATACAATTTATACTCTTGAATAATTTTTACAAACTATCTAATTTGTTGATCATTATCACGCGTGCTTGATTGTGTTATAGATAATCTTGCTCGAGACGAATAAGAGCTTAAGTTTGAGAGTGTTAATAAGTGTATTTTTGTACACTTATTTAATATATAAATAATCTTAAATATTGATTAAAAGAGTAAATTTCAAGTCTCGATCATATAATTATTGCTTTTATAGATAAAAATCATCCATTGTAATAAAACAAGGCAAAAGGAAGTGAAAAAGGACAAAAAGCATACAAAATTGTGAAGTTGGGACCAAATCGCACAAGTCATAAAGTTGAAGGACCTTGGGCTGCAATTTTTAAAGGGCTTGATTGATATGAAAGTCTCAGTTTCATAATCGAATTGTACTAAACTACAGTTTTGGGACCAGATGTGCAAATTGCTAAAGGACTTTTGTGTAAAAAGAGAAAATAAAAAAAGAAATCAAGAGCCTGTTTGGGAGCGCTTTTTAAACAAAAAAAAATGGCTTTTTGAACCGTTAGAAGGAAATCTTTTGGTCATTGTTGACTTTTGGTCTCATAGGTGGGACCAACCGTTGAAAAAAAAAAGGTCATATTTTGTCTTAAAAGATGCTGAAAATTTCTACCAGACAAGTCCCAAATGTTTTTAACAAAGAATTGCGCATACGCGCCACTTTAAAAACTTAGGGACCATTTTTATTATTTTTCCAAAACTTGGGGATTTGGGTGCAATTTTTCTAGGGTTTTAAAATGATAAACAAGTAGTATCCTGGATCTTCTGTTTTTCTTCTTCCCTTCTATTTTCATTTTCATTTTCTTTCATTTTTTTCTTTTGATTTTCTTAACATTTTTGGGGCAAAACCAAAAGTACAAGGAAAATCGATTAAGGAGTTGGAGAAATATTGGAAAAATCAAGAGCTAGACATTTTCGTCTTCGCAATTCCAACCAAAAGGGTTTTTTCTATAATATTGTATTTTCTCTATTATTTTGCCAAACTTGTAATGTAGTCTCCTTTTTATCATTTGTATAAAATGAGCTAATTAATTGTGTTGTGATTTATGGTAGTAGCTTGACCAAACTTTGATTAATTTTAGTATTTGCTCTTTAATGTTAAAATTACTTATGTCATGTGTATGTACTATTGAATTTCATGATATTTACTTATTTGGCCAATAAATGTTTGTATTAAGTGATTTGTGCAATTATTGAGAAATTCTTGTACATTTTAGACAACAGAGTGAAAATCCTAAGTTCGTGTAGGGGATAGAGATATACACATAACCCTAAGTAATCCATTGAAATATTTTTACAAAGACTTAATACTGTTATTTGATTTTAATCGATACAGAGATATGGTAAGTTAAACCAATAAATTAGAGTTAATTTTGCTCGAGAGAAGTAATTAGCTAAATTTGAAAAATCGAGTCTAATGTCATAAATTAGTAATTTATTAATTAGCTTATGAAGAAATTAATTAGACGACGGTTAAGTGAAACCATGAATCACAATCACGTTTTCTTCCAAAATTTTCGAGTTTTTATGTTTTATTAATTCGTAAGGTTCTAGTTAATTTTCCATATTTTTCAAAATCAAATCTTTATTGTGTGTTTTTTTTAATTGTTAAAATTAAATTAATTAAAATTGTGCAATCTAAAGTAAACATTTCTCGAGGGAGCGACAACTTGGAATCAAAAAGTCCACTGTATTACTTGAACGCGACTCATGCACTTGCGATTTGCACTTTATTAGCGAACATACTCCATTCTTTATGTAGAGATTGATCAATTTGTATTTCAAAATATTCTTCATCTTGTTGCACATTTTCTTCTTCCTCATCTTGATATTCAATATCTTTAAGATCTTCTTTGCTGTAATCTTTGAAGTTCATTCACTCAAAAGGAATCTCCAAACATGCATCATTAACAATACATTTCTCCTGATCAAGAGAATTTGCTTCATAAAAAATTACATGCATGGATTTTTCATCAACTAAAGTTCTTTTCTAATACACTATTTTATTGAAAAGTTCTAATAGCCGAGATACTATGTTCGTAGCCATAAATTTTTCAAAAATCACCAAATGCTATATTGATAAATTCTCTACCGTGATTACTATAAATTGTAGTAATAGTGTACCCCTTTTCATTTTGAACAGTTTTACAAAAATATTTAAATACATTCAAGACTTCATCTTTTAAGTTTAAAAATAGGGCCCAAGTAAATTTAATAAAGTCATCGAAAATGACGAATACATAATATTTACCATTTAGACTTGATGTTCTAGATGGTCCAAAAAAAGAAGTCAAAAAGGTTTTAGTTGAAGAATGTTGCTTAAATTTGAAAAAAAAAAAAAAAAACTCTTCATTTGTTTTCCAAATTGACATGTATCACAAATTATCTTTCTCAAATTTCAAATTTGGAAAACCTTTAACAAAACAATTTTTTGTTCAAAGTTAATTACTAAGAGCATATTTTTAATAAATGGAGATAAATGATTACCAATAATTCCAATACAAATGATTTTTCGTTTGGCATTATTTCCAAAAATATCATGACCACTATCCTTCTTTTTGAAGTTCAACAATAAAGTTTTATCTTCGGTGATGTACTTTGAGCATCTACTAACGAAAAATCATTTGTTCCTAATTTTCTTTGGTACCTATAAAAATAATTTAATTTTGATTTTTTGGTGCCCATACAACTTTGAATCATTGGTTGTTAGCGTTTGTGGACTTTTGAATCCACTTGTGTTTGCTTTCAAAGTGGAACCCCATTTTGATTGAACAATTAAAATTCACATGTCCATTTTTATTGTAAAAACTATAGTGATATTTGAAAGAGGGAAAGTAAATGCTTTAACAAAAAGATTTTTAAGAAGCTTTTGTTTGAAAAATGGTTTATATCCAATTCTTCCTTTATCAAAAGTACTTCTTGTTCACAAAGCATTCGATCAAGAAATTTCTTGTTTGAGTAAATTAAGTCAAATCTAAAATATTTTCTTGTAATGAGGAATTCCCCTTAATTAAAAAATTGTAATAGACTTTTCCATTTTCAAAATCATTTTGAATTTCCAAAAGCTTCACCTCATTTTCCAATAAAGAATTTTTCTTTTTGATAATAGAACGATTTAAAGCAACTTTTTCAAAACTCTTCAAGCATTCACTACACCAAAAAAGGCCTTTTGTAGCGGTCAAAAAACGCTGCAAAAGGCCTTTAGCAACGTTTCAGCATGTATTGCAAAGTTCAGTATTGCTAAAGAGGGAAGAGATACGGCAACGTTTAAAAAAGCTGCAAAAGAGGTCTTTTGCAACGTTTAAAAAATGTTGCCTTTTTTTTTTATAGCAAATTGATTGGCAAAATTGAAAATGACTAATTATGAACAAATGTTGGAATTGCATAAAATAATTATTAAAGTAATCAAATTTTTAAATCCATACACTTGAACATTACAAATTTTTGAACTCATACACTTCAACCTATGTTTGAACCCGGACTCTATTAGTAAAAACTAATAATACGCCACCAACATACAACTTTCCTGATGTTCCAATTAGGTTGAAACCTGAATGATTCCTGATATTGGCACCGGTTGGAGAAGTTGAGGTTGTGGACATTAAGATTGCTGGATTTGTGTTCTGGTTTCATGGGATTCTCGAGTTTTTCGATGAAATTCTTTTTCGGCTTTCCTTTGTTGGCCTATTTTCTTGTGGAACAGGGGATTTTGATATTGAATCTTCACTTTGCTTACTTTTGCAAATATATTGCTTTTTGAACTGCTCTGATTCCTTCAAAGAGCCATCGCCATCCTTCTGATTTTCCAACACATCATCATTCATGTGTCTCAACTCTAGAACAATAGCTACCTACATGTTACAAAATGAACATTGAGCTCTCTTCTAGTTTGTTACATTGATACAGAAGCACTATAATATTAATTTTGACAAACAGCTCCAATTGTGACCACATATACCGTATATATTGTAATGAAAAAAAAACACTGTTCAAATACACAATAGCACAAACTTAGTAGCAAAACATGCAAGGAACAATGTTAATGAGTAAAAACAACATATACATCACATTAGCATTTAGATGCTATGACCTTTTTGTCAAGAGTGCGAGTCAGCTCAGTAAGAGCTTGAACATCAGCTTCTTTTGCTTGAATGTGAGCTGGTGTACAAGGCTGAGAATACAGTGTCTGTTAGTAGGTAGCAGTTTCCGTAGGCCCAGTCCTAGTTTGAACATTAGCATGAGAGGAAGCCACCTGGCAAACAAAACAATCTGGTTAGATACTCCTGAAAATTAAAGAAGTGAGAAAAAACTTTTGGTACTGAAGATAAGCTACTGGTATTGAATAAAACTCCTAAATGAAACAACTGAGATAGGAGTTCATATTAGCCCACAATAGTTGTGATAAAGCTAGTCAGTTAGACGGGTAAGTCTATGTACTCCTTGAGACAAAAGTTCCACCACTTTGGCCTAAAATTGCAACTTCCCAATCAAACCATCGTCTTCACCCAAACTCCTGCTGGCAGCTCGAATTTGGCCTAAAATTGCATCTTTCAGGCACCGGAATCGCTTTGAGATTGTTTGTCGAGCCAGAGCAGTGGTGGTACTGTCTGTATCTTTGGTTAACCTTCAAATCACAAAATTTCACTTGTAGAGCTTAGAATTGAAAATTGCAAAGAACACAAATAGAATTCTTATGCGATGACAAGAATAAGATTATACCTGAACATAGGCCCAACCACTGCCTTGTTTGAAGATCGATTCCATTACACTGAGGCAGGAATGTGCACAAGAAAACATGAATTCATCTTCTTTACAAACCGGACATTCCTTAGAAGTTGAATCAATATACGACACTTGATAAAAACACACCCAACAAAACAAGTGACCGCAACAAGTCAATATAGGTTCCCTTGCCACCTCTATCCACATGTGCACCAGAAAAGTCGCTTATTTTAACAGCATTACGCAATTGGTGCTACCTAGCACGAGCAATGGCAGCTTCAAGCTCTCTAATCCTTTCCTCTATCCTACCATGGGTAGTTTCCAACTCATTCAACATAGATCCAAATCTCGAATCTGAATTCAGAGGTAGGTCCAAATGTTCTAGGTTCAAATCAAGATCTACTAAATTTTTACCCATCAAATTGTTATCATCCATCACACGAACAACACCTCAAGACGCAAACCCTTCGATATAACACAAAAAAACTCGAAAAACCCAAAGAATTAGGAATTAGAATTGAAAAATAAAATTTACCAAATTAGATGTTCAGAAACCAATTGAATTTTGAAAAAAAAACAAAGCAGAGATCTAGAAGGCTAAGATTTTTCTGTACCTTCAAAATGACAAACGGAGTGCTTTACTTTCTTCGCACAGCCTTCGCAATTCAAGTCCAGCTTCAACACGACGGTGCTGGAGCCGTCGTCTTTCTTTCCGCCTCCGCGATTAGGGCTTTCTCGACGGTCGGTTAGGGTTTTCACGATGATCTGCCTCTTTGAGTGGAGGCAGGACAGGTTATGGCGAGAGAATCACAGAAGATGGGATGAATGGAGGGATGGGGGAGGGAGGCGTGAATAAGGGCTGGGTTTGGGGTTAATAAGGAAGGCGTGAATAAGGGTTGAAATTTTGCAAATAAGGGTTGAATCTTTTCGCAATGTTTATTAAACGTTGCGAAAAGGACCTTTTGCAACGTTTAATAAACGTTGCGATAGACCCCTTTCGCAACGTTTATTAAACATTGCGAAATGTCCTTTTCGTAACGTTTAATAAACGTTGCGATAGACCCCCGCAACACTCCATAAACGTTGCAAAATGGGGTTTTTCGCAACATTCTTTTAAAAAATGTTGCCAAAACTCATTTATATTAATTAATGGCAACATTCACTTACTAAAATGTTGCCAAAAGACCTTTTTAGCAACATTTATCAACAAATGTTGCCTTTTTAATGTTGCAAATGATTTTTTTGGCGTAGTGATTTCATCATAAGAGGTAGATAACTCATCATATAAACGATTTTCATTTACCTTATTTTCAATAGTCATTAGCACATGTTTGCAAATTCTTCTTGACCTTCATTTTCTTCATTATGTTTATCGTCATTTTCATCCCATGTGGCTTGGAATGCTTTCTTTTGAAGAATTTCTTCCTGTTCGGATAATTAATTTTCTTGTGACCGGGTTTTCACAATCATAGCAAACAATCTTATTGCTTCTCTCTTCGCCCTTTTCTTCTTTCTTTTAAAATTGCCAATTGTTGCAAAGATTCCTTCAATTTTGACAAGAAGAACTAGGATACCAAGTTCTTCATCATTCATATTTTTGCTTGAAGTGCCTCCATTCATTACCAACTTTTAAGCAATTTGGCATTTTTTTTTCTTCTTTGTTTTTTTTTATTGTTTTCTCATTTGTTTCGGTACGATTTAACTCATATGTCATCAATGTTCCATAGAATTTTTGGTATTTTTTATCAACATTCTCAACGAGCTTCAATCATTCAAAAGAGACCTAAACATTTTACTCATGAGTTCACTATTAGTAAATTTTCGATTAAAACCATTGAGGCCATAAAAATATTGGTGAAACAAGTAATCACATCAATAATAGGTTTATTTTGTTTCATAAAGAAATTTTCAAATTCCTTAACCAAAAAATTTATCTTGATTTCTTTTACTTTATTAGTGCCTAAATGAGTAACTTCTAATGCATGTCAAATATCGAAAGCAGAATCACTTATACTAATACTATTAAATATATTTTTGTCTAAAACACAATAAAATATATTTTTGGTTTCAGAAATTTTCTGATTTCTTTCTATTATATTTGATTTCAGAAATTTTCTAACATACTTTGATAATATGTAATGTTTGAAACAAAGAATAGAAAGGATAGAATCATACGTCATATGTTCAACTACGAGAATCAATGGTTTGTCTTCTCAAACCCCATTTTAGTAAGTCGTATTATGTTTCAATGTCACGCATATTAATGATATGTTTTGAGAATATAATTTATGCACATTATCGGTGTAATATCTTCAACAATCTTAAGATGAATTTTTATGTTGTACTTTATATTCTAAGGTTGCCATGAATAATTATTTGAATTGTTGAAATTCGTAAGCCAACCTTTTCGTAATTATATACTTGGTTGACATATTTGCATGTTGTATGGAAAGATGTACCTCTCGACATTAAAAATTCTGGAATTAATTTATCTTATGGCATAAAGTGTTCCGTTTACATTTATGAAAGGGCATGGAATTGCTAAAATTCTAATTGGTGTTCCTTGATCCATGTTGGATTGTCTGTCTGAAACGGTGGGTTTTAATGCATGGCTTTTTGTATGTTCTGGTTTTAGTCAGTTTGTTTAATTAAATGAAAGTGACAAAACTCAATATATATATATATATGATGTAATGGAAAATGGTAGTTGCTAATGGACAGAAAAGTCAAGACTGTTAGTGCATGAATTTGGTGCATGTTGACAAAAATTATGTTGGAATTTATGTCTTCCAATTTTATTCAATGCATGGTTGTAACGTGTTTCTAGGACCATGAATTTGGATTAACTGGTGACTACTGATTGCGATAATAATTTCGGTGAAAGTTTCGACATGAAAAGTAGTATCTTCACTTTCATTCTAATTGTATTGTGCGTGGCATCCATTTCCAATTGCTGTACACGTTACCATGGAATCTCGCACCTACATGTTCATGAATCAGTACGTCTTTAACTGTTATAAATAGTTAAAGTTAATTAATATTTAATGTAGTACCCACCTTTTCATATGTCCATTGATTATGGAATCGTGTGCTATGGCATCCATTTAATTGAATATGTCGAATCTGTGTATATATTATATGAATTTGTGTAATTCATAATTAATGGTTCTACGGTTGAGTAGTCATATATGTATGGCTGCAAGTGCATGGAGTTGCCTGATGTGAAATCAAATTTTGTGTAGTAAAACTCTTGCAAGAATTTCTGATTGAATTATCATGATGGAAAGATATTGGTGACCAATATCTAGTGTGGAAAATTGTGTCTATTCAAATTATTCTCTATAACATGAATTGCTAAGCATATAGATATGGGAGAAATCTAAAGTGTTAGATATATGGGAAGAAAGTATATGAACTATCATAACTATTCTTTTGATCGGAATATGGTAAAA